ACCTATTTTACGACTTTTCAACAGCTCTGATGACAAATTATTTTTTCCTGAAGGTTTTCTGTTTCTCATACTGCATTCCAAGGTGTTGTCATCAGGATTTTTCTTAATCAAATTAAACTGCTTTTTACCATTTTGTTATACTTTCAGTCCCTCAAAGTCAGGTACTTTTGTTGTTGTCCTATGTATTGAGTTTAGAGTTAAGGACTTCTAAATATCAAAGATTTATACATGGTATTTTTTGAGAGTAAAATTACACAGTAAATGATGTAGTGTCCACTATGTTACATTCTAAGTAGGCCCTTACAAAATGACTTGTGCTTACATAAGATACAGGGGCTACAGCATATTTATTAAGACTCTTCAACTCTGTATCAAACTGGAGCAGTCAGAAGTAATGGTGTCTGCTGAAAGATTCTTTATCATATGAATTTACTTTTAGTCATCTATTATTTATTTCAGCTATTTTATATGCCATTATAATAAATATTATGACAGAGAAAGCTTTTATGCTTCAACTTATTGTACTGCTCTTCACTTCCTTGCAATCCTTCAGGAAAATGTAACTATGCTTTACCTATATTTAACGTAAATCATCACTTACATTTGAATGAAAAATTCACTATGAAAAAAGGCTCCTTCTTCAGTACCAAGACACAAATGCACAATCATGTTTACTGCCAAACTACTCTACCATGCAGTGTTCATTTTTAAACAGTTTTTAAGCTGTAAAGTGAATACATTGCATATAGTGAAATTGCTTGCTTTTTGGGTGTTTTCACTTCCTTGTTAGTTTCTGGCCCAATAAGCATTTTTCTAGCATGAGTGCAAAATATAACCAATTGCACTTAAGCGTTTTTAATATTCTTTTTTCTCCAATAGGGAGCAGTTTACATACAAAACTGAACAAACTGTTTTCTGCTGTTATTTAGAGTAATGAAAGTTACCTGGAAATATTGATAAAATGCTTTTAGAACCGGGCATAAAATCATGAAATACAAGATAAAGTTTTTTCTTTGCACTTTGCAAAATGTTATTGTGTTCTGTTTAAAAGAGGACTTGTTAGGAACCAGAGGATAATCTGCCTTTGGCTGTTTCTTCAAAGACAGGATATTGGTGCCTAGACATTGTGAGCCTTGAACTGCTCTTTGGGCTTCATGAAACACAAATACTCCCCAACACAAAAGCACAGTTTCAGCTGGTTCTAGCTGACCTTGTTTCCACACAGTTCAGTAGACAGCAGAGGCATATCTGCCCTTGTGTCTGTTGTCCTTTTAGCCAGTTTGCGAAGCTGGTCTAAGTCTAGTTCTGAAAGTGGTTTAGGGTACATTGGGATTTCTGGCCTGGGAATCTGCAGCGAGGGCAGCAGCTCATGTTGCACAGGCTCTCAGCTGTGCCACATAGTAGTGATCCTGAGATTTAGAAGTGAGCTCTTTAAATTCCTCTACACTCATGTTACTCAGTTTTCCCTTAAATTATGTTATTTAAAATAAAGTAATAAAGGAACCATTAATATTTTTTTATCTTTAATTATAATTATTTAATTAACTTTAATTTAAAAAATTGTGGAGTTTTCTGCCTTAGTGTGTTGATCTTATGATGTCAGTTTTAAGACTGTGTTCTGTATTTGGGAAAGTGGCAAGTCGAATTTAAGAATTCACAACATAAAATGAGGCATAATTCAGTACTGAAAATATGTGAAGTGAAATAGTGAGAGACATAAGCATAATACAATTATGACACATTAGATCAGGATTTGCAGCATACCATTAACAATCAGTTCTGACTGTGGATTACAATCACAGTTACAGTGCCTTTTAGTAAAAATGGTTTTTAGCTTTATTTTTTTATTTAAAAATATTTCTAATTTTTCTATAAATAGCACAATATGTGATATGTACTATATAGGCTTATAGGAAAAGATGCAAAACATAAGAAAGGTGATACTGAGCTACTGTAAGAAAATAAAAAGGCATTTGCTTGACATTGGTTGGAGCTATTCTTACAGTAAGAATTTTTAAGAACATACCCTGCAAATATATTGCTTATTTCACAGCTTTTTTTTAAAGAAATAATGACATTGAAGTAGGAGTAGGAAAATTTGGAATTAAATTTTGGAATGTGATATTAAAGGCCTAGCATTTCACTTTCTCAAACTATAGTAAGAATTGATGGTCTACAGAACAACTCTTTGGAGTGAGGAGTGCTTGAATATCAGTTGAAAAGGGAGAATCTGAAACAGATCTGCTGGCTACTATTTGAGGAAAATGAGTGGTTTCTTGCATGCCTTCAGAAGCAGGAAAACAAAGCAAATGGCTGTCTCTGTGCTCAGTATGGACCTTGTATATATCCGAGAGAAACGCAGACTGTTACCATCAGGTTTTTAAAAAGGAAAGTCAGGGAGAAAGTTAAAAAAAAATAAATTGTTTTGCCATTTGTTGACCTGTTCCATGGAAAAAAATTACTAAACTCATACTTCTTTTTCCTTCTTATTTTTTCCTTTTTCAGGTCATTTTAGACACATTTTCCTGAATTTCTTAATGAATGTTTTCTTTGTCTTTTTCTGTTTCTGTATGTGTATCAAAACTAAAAGGTGAAGTGGTGTTATATTGTTTGAAATAAATTATCTTACTGTCTGAAGAAAATGTAGTACGAATAGAAAGGTGGTCTCATTTCATTGGCGAAACTGGTACAGAAGAAACATGATTATAGTTTGCATTTGCTGTCTAACAGTCAAACATTTATCATTTTCAAGAATATGATTTCTAGACTTATGTTTTCTACTTTTTCAATATATTAATCCACAAGGTATTTTGGAAGCCTCACTTTTTTTCCCTTTTGGACTTGAAATACACAGTTCTGTTCTTGGACTCAGTAGCAGAATTCTAACACATGACACCAAGAGGAGAATCATCAATGAGTAATACTGTGTGGGCTTCAGTCTGTGTCCCCAAGAGTACAGTAGCTAGCAGCTTGCAGTATAGTCTTTCGAACCATTTGATTATTAATTTTTTTTTACCCTCTTATGTCTCTGTATTTGTAACCTTCTTGGCTTTTTACCCTTGAGAGAGCTAAGAGAATGTTTCAACTGAGGAAAGCAGAAGCAGTGTAAACCCAGCTACGCACACTGCTTCTCTATTAAGTAAACAGCTTTGAACTGAAAAGTTGTTATGGAGGTCTGTTGCATAATGCAAGGCAGCATCATCTTTCTCAAGTCTCTGACCATCAAACAGAAGAAAATATTTACCAAGTGGGGCAAAATGAATTCCAGGATGATGTGCATCTTGTGACAGTAAAAAAATTCTTCATAACCAAGTTAAGTTTGGTTTAGCATTGTCAGACTCCATCAACTGATACTTCCTATGGAAACTGAACCTGTTGAAATTTTAGTTGTGTTTATTTTGTTGTGCTGATAAGTCTGGCTGGAGTGGAACAAAAAGATTTTGAATGACATTCTGTTAAAACCCGACCTGTAAGGTAATTGTGGCAGGCAGAATGGATGCTAGCAAAATAAAAAACAGATGTAGGGAGAGAAGAAACAGATGTAGGGAGAAAAGTACCAGATGTAATGAAACACAGAGATCAGATGAATTGCTTGAGCTTGGGAGACAATGGGACCACTTGGTTTCTTTTTGTGCTGGGATGTGCCCTGCTTCCTTCTTGTTCCTTCAGAAATAGGCATTGTATAACGTTGTAACCACAATAGATCCCCGTTTACACTGTGGTGATAACAGAGTTCCTATTGCCTCTCCATTTGAATGCTGCCTTTGACTGCATAGTACCACTGTATCTGCTTCCTCTTGTTCTTACTGTTTCTTTGAGCAGTGCTAATGTCCAGTCTTGTCCATGGCCACTATACATAGGTGTACGTGGCCTGTTGGGATTACATGAAGTGTCCTTTAATTTCAGTTTTTTTTACTGAATAAGCTAAGCAGAGTGGGCTGAATGTTTAGGTCTGGGGAGAGTACAGGGCTTTTGCCAGCTTTCCTTTAGGTACCAGCGTGTATTTGATGATGGTCAGTAGTGAGTCTAAAAGTGAAGGTGAGCACAAATAACATATGTTCATAATTCCTTAGGGGATCTATGTGACTTATATGTCATGAGAGTTGGTAGTTTTTGCAGAGGATCATAGATATCTTAAAATACAGTGTCTGTGGAAGAACTAGACAGTTGTTGGATGTGGTGGTGCAGACACACAGCTGCAGTCAAAAGCTCCTTCAGAACTATGGCTTAGAACAACCACAGCCTGCTGGGTTCTGTGGTGACTTGCTTTCACTTCGGTGCTTGCAATGAAAACAGACTTGGCTAGTTTTGTTCCAAGATTTGGAGTGTGTTTCAAAAGGTCTGAGAAAGCTTAAAGCTGAAAATTTTGAGTTGTTTTGGTGGTTTCCAAGGTCATTGTGTGGGATTGCATGTCCTCTTATAGGGGAAAAGTTTGTTTTAAGTGCATATGCAATTTCTTTAGAAGATGCACAGTCATAAACTCTTATTCCGTGAAAAGCCATTGTCTGATCACTTGTTTTCTGCACTCATTTTGTACCTTTATATCACCTGCTATGAATAATAGATTGTTTTGAAATACTGTGTGGAAGTTTGAGTTTAACTGTTTTTTATAGAGTAGTTACTGAGTATTTTGGTATGCTGTGTAAAGAATGCCATGCATTAAGAATGATGCTTCCTATACTCTATATTTCATGAGTTACATAAGTTTCACCAGCAAAATGGAAGCTAAAAGATACCATACTAACCTTAACACTACTTTGTGTTGATTCATTTTATTATATAAAGCTGTGTGTTACCCAGCATATGTTTTAGCAGAACCACAAAATTGCAATGCTACTTTTGGCACTAAATGTTGTGCTCATCCATTCGTTTTGATGATTTGTATTCACTTTGGGGTTATAATGTTAAACAAGGGAATCGGGTAAGTTTCATAACACATTTACTGTAACATGATACTGTGAACTAAACTTGCTCTTATTTATCTTTTTTTATATTTTCTCTTGTTCCAGCATAAAGCCAAGGTAGAAGCAATGACCTTAGACCTTACTTCTCTTCAGAGTGTGCAGCACTTTGCTGAAGCATTCAAATCCAAGAATGTGTAAGTACTCAGAAAATTACACATAAGAATTTCTTGTTATTTTAATATCTCTATCAGCTGAGCAGAGTTGGCAGCATTCACCATGGTTGGACTGATTTAGTGGATAATCTTTTCACAGGATTTTTCTTCAATGGAAATTAGAGATCACTTGTTTTCATCCTAAAAAAAAAAAAATAATTATGGATTACTTATTATTCCATGTAGCCCTAGGATTAAAGGGGGCATTGGTGCCCCTGTGGCTATTGGAAAAGGTCAAAGCTGAACTGCATAAAAAACAGCTTAGGCAACTTTTATCAGTTTTGCAGTGGCTTGGAAGAGGTCAGGGATGAGCAATTATTGCACTTCTTGTCTTACTTTCTTTTCTAACCTTTCTGCTCTCGCTTTTTATTTTAAAGCATTAAAAACATAGCTGTATGAGCCAGACAGCTCTATTTTCCAGACCTCTTTCTGGAATAGTCTATAATTAAGGAAAAAAAAAAAAAAAGGAAAAAAGAAAAAAGGAGGGAGAGGTGTTCCTAATGACATCACTTAACAATAGACAAATTTATATGGCAATAATCAAGTTAGCTTCCAAATGGCTTGTTTAATTTAGGTTGAGCAGAACAATGAATCTCTAAATCGAAGAAATGAATTGAAATCTTTAATTGCCAGCTCTTGGCAATAAATTCTGCAGTTTGTGCTTTTATCCACAGTTTGACCCATTGACTGTTGTGAGTATTCAAACTTCGCTTTTTTCTGCAAGTATTTATGTAGCACATATACATCTTACTGAACTTCTCAGGAGAATTTGGCCTCTTAGCTTTGAAAATATATTGTCATAGGGAAAATATATAACAAAGCATGTTTTTTCACTTTTGAAATACTGCCAAAGCTAAATCTCACATGGATAGACAGATGACATTTTAGTACTTATAGATCTTTTAGATTCAAAGAATTGTCAGAACTGACTTCTAACACAAGTTCCTTTACTGCTAAAATCCTTGGTAACAATATTTTCTTGCCATATATTATTGTCATGTATTAAAATTTTCTTGAAATAGAAAGACATACCCTTGCAGTATTGATGCTTTAATACTAAGTCATTTTCATAATATGAAAACAGTAAATGTTTTAATTTAGCTTCTTCATGCTTTTAGTATGCTACATTCATTTAAAAACTATATAGTACAGTGAAAAGTTAAAACTACACTTCTTCCAAATGCAGTTCTTAACAGGATTTTTGTGTTGTAGATCATATCGTGGTCATTCTAGCTAGTCCACTTGGTATGCATGTTTGTAAATCCTTTGAAGTGAATATACTTAAATCAATTTTTGCCAGAGAACTTAGAAAATGAGAAGATATAGAATCAGTAAAGATACAGAATCAGTAAAACCTGGTTTACTTTTGTTGGCATACGTTGTTTAACCAGTGTAGGTCTGTTAAGCTACATTGTCAGTGATAGGTTTTATGAATGTTTCACTCCCATTTTATTTGGCAAACTTTTAGTAATAGACACCATTTATAGCCTCTGCCTTGCCTTCGCATATTTGTGTCTCGAGTGCGTGATCAGATGTGTGTGTGTCCAGCAGGGTTACTGCAGGCATTGTAGGAAAGTTTGATGTCTGTATCTGTTGTGAGACTTGTGAGGTTTTGACCAAAATGAATTTCTAGTTATATTTTGTTTAAAGTCTGAGGCTGGATGAAAACCAGACCCCACACACTGTCTGTAGCAGTGGATCTTTTATCTGATGCAGATACAGAAGAGTTACCTTACAATCATCTGCACTGACAGGAGAATGGACTGGGAGACGTGCTAGGGCTTTTTGGCTCTGATTTTCTGTGATTTAACTATGTCTGGATATGTTAAAAAAAGTAATTATACCGCAGTAGCATCTTACTGCTACAGTGCTAGCCCTGTGTGTTTTCCAGCCCTAATGTACGCTAACTACTTTTGTCTCTTCGGTTATTTGTTTTGCCATAGCATCCAGAGGCTTTTGTCAGATCATCAATGTTTCCTTTGCATTAGTAGCTTTATGAGCAATTGAAAGAAATCTTACAGGCTTCGGTGACAGACTGACTCTTGTTGTTTATGCTTTGGCAAGTCTGTCAGCTGGTAGCCTAACTTTCTTAAAAGGCTTTGGTATCTCTGATCTCATGCACCTGTAGGAGAAGGCATTCTGTGATACACTCTCTTCAGTTCCCATGAGCTAGCTCTAAGTCCTGTTAATGAGCATGGAAAATAAGTTATAAGTACAGAGTTTTCTTTCTTACAAAATCTCTTACAGGTTTCTTAATAATAAACTAGTAGAAAAGGCAAATTAAGTGTGTGTTTGTTTTTCCTAAACTATCATTTGAGTTCTAAGTTGTATAGATCTTGGTTTCTTGGAAAAAAGCTATGATGATTTTAAAGTGTGAAGGAGAGAGTTTATATGAACTCACATATTTTAATAAAATTTGTATTTTTATTTCCTATAAAATGTTACGTGAAGAGGCCTTTTGTATTCAGTGGTGAACATCTTGCACTTCTAGGTGCAGGTAGTTTTATTGTCTAATTTCTCCCATCTACTGTTGCTTTCAGGGAAACTCTGATATGCTACAGAATTGGTTGGTCTTGATGACAGCTGACCCAATAAGTAAAATTTACAAAATCGATAATAAATTCACGTGTCTTTTGAAATTCTGCTTTTCTGGAGCACTTCATGACCCTAGGTATTATTTTTTATCAGCAGATGTAAGGGTGTACTCAGTCACATCACAGCCCTGGAGCCTGATCTTCCTTGGTTGATAGCTATTGGAAAAGGGTCTTCAAGGACTGTGCTTCACAGGTGTCTTCCAGGATAAGAAAACTAAAGTGGAACAACTCCAGAAAAAGGATCCCTAAATTTTATTGAGTTTTATTTATCAAAACCTATTGCAGCTGGGGAGGGTGGTGGGATTGCAGGGAGCAGGGGGAAAACTGCTGAGATTGTAAATCTGCCCTAATCAAGAAGTTGTAGAGACAGAAAAACAAGAATCCTTCTTGAATGCGCTAGAGAATCTGAGAGATTGTGGAAACTACGTGAAGAATGAAGAAATGTCATCCTCCACTCAGCAGGAATTTAACAGGGTCTGGTTGCATACAGAAAACAAATCATGCAACAGAGGGAGCATGGAGAAAAACATAAATAATAAACAGGAGGAAAGAGTTACTCTGAAAAGAAATATTTACCATAAATTGGAATAGTACTTCAGAGCTAAGAAGGCTTCCTTTTTTTGAAAGGAAAAATCAGATGATTAATCTTCAAGTTACCATGCTTCTGAGATTTGATAGGAATCTTTTATTCCTGTCTGGATTTGCAAGGTGTTGCAGCCTTGTCCACAGATAAAATTTGAGCTCAAAGTATATAAACACAGGTAAGTTAAGCTGTATTCCTGTAAATATATTCTAAAAAGTCCTTCATCATCACGGAAAGAAATAAGTTTTTCTTTGCATTACCAATACTCCTTATTTGATATAGATGTTTCTCTTTCTGAGACCATTTTTATCCATGCAGTTTCAAGTAAAGCTTTGGGGGAGAAGGGTTTTGCAGATTATTTTAGATCCTGCAGATCTAAACTTTAGATCCAGCAGATTATAAACTTCCCTTATGGAAGTGTGCTTTCCAGTTTTTCTTGCCCTCAAAGATTCTGTAGTAACATAAATGTGATAATTTCATTGAATCTCCTAAAGTTGTCTCTGGGAGAAGAGAGAATAAAAGATATTGCTGTTTAAGTCTTGATCTACCTCTTACTTCCAAGTAGCCCAGCCTGAACACAATGTAACTGGGACATGAAATCTAACTTTGTGAAAGATTGTGCTGAAGGTCTTACAGATCAAGTTACTCAGAGAAAACCGTTTGTTATGTTGCAGTAAAAGCAATTAATTTTAGCCTCTCTTGTCATTTGAAATGCGATGCAATGCTGTTATTTCTGTGGTTTATTGTTATTCCTCCATTCCTGCGTATGATTTCTGTCTTTTAGTATTCCTGGCTTGTTGTCTAGATATACCTTCCTCATGGGGTATTTCCTCCAGGAGTGAAGACCTCAGCCTTCGTTCCATGTGAAGACAGTGCTAGGCTTAGGATGAGAGTAGAAGAGGTCTTAGTGCACCTAAATAGCTAGATTTGTTCAAGTTCCCTCTTTTAGCTACATGTAGTGTTTCCTCTCTGCTGGTTACCAGCTCAGACAGTTGACTGAATGTCTCTGTTATGGAAAATCAAATAAATGATCTATTTATAATAATGTTCTGAGCTCAGATGGATTGGCATTAGCTGATTTTTGTGAGGGTGGAAGAGAAAGACCAACCTATCTTTCATATTAGGCTTTTGAAACTAAAAACACATTGAATTGAATCTCCTCTTCATTGAGTGGGCACAATGTGAGGAATCATATTTGGCATTAATCCCCTTTATAGACAAAATGACTGCCCTCCTGTGATTGTATGCAACATAGCATTTAAATTTAGCCAGCATCAGTGTTTGATAGTTCAGGGTCTGTGGGGTTTGGTATTTGAGTAAGAATGTGGATTTCTGGATGTGATACTTTGGTCTGCATTTCTCAGTTTAATCGTCACGTATTTGTCTAAACCTAGCATACTTTAATTGGGGGACAGCTCTAATGTTTCAGTTCTAAATAGCTACCTGTAAATATTGTCAATATTTACAATCATGGTATCGTGTCATTTGCCTGATCCTCAGCATGAGAACACTTCTGTGATCAAAACGATTAGCAGGCAGAAGTGAGCACTGAAGTTACATATGGAATTTTATTTGCGTCTTTAGTTTTGAATGGTACACAGTGTCACTTGGTTTGAATTGAAGTTATCTTCAGCCAAAGAGTAAGACATAATTTTAATGTTCTCAATGTTCAAGGAAAAAAAAATATCCTGAAAAATCTTGAATTATCTTAAAGATAGAAAATAGTGTTTGTCAGCAGCTACTACCTGGAATTTTCTGAATTGATAGCAGCAATTCACAGTTATGTAGGACTTCCACATGTAGAT